CAAAAAAAATTAAAATTGGAAGGCAATTACAGAGAGACAGATGCAGAGAGAGAGCAAGCTTCCATCCACTGGTTCATTTCCCCAAATGACTGCAACCACCAGAGCTGGACCGATCTGAAGCCAGGAGCCAAGAACTTCTTCTGGGTTTCCCATGATGGTGCAGGTGCCCAAGCACTTGGGCCATCTTTTACTGATCTCCCAGGCCATAGCAGAGAGCTGAATTGGAAGAGGAGCAGCTAGGACTACAACCAGTGCCCATATGGGATGCTGACACTCCAAGCAGTAGTTTTACTCACTACACCACAGCACCAGCCCCAAATAAGTACCAATTTGAGAATATTGATTTTGCGCAGTCCAGGAGATGGAGTCATGTAGGAATAGAATGAAAAATGCTGGCGGTAGAGGTAGATGGACTTGAGATCAGATCTTTAAAATACAGAAATAGCTATTTTTTTTATTTAAGTATTTAGTATCATTGGAGTTGAGAGTGGAAAGTTCATGACTAAGCTCTTTTGAACTTCAGACAACGAATTGAACGAGGCTCACACAAGCAGTGAGTAAAGAAATAAATGTTTATTACAGGAAAGTAAAGTATACTCATTATGAAAATATGAGCTGGCAACAGAGACCAAAGCCACTTGAATGTGGTTAAGGTCTGTATATTTATAGGTGTGGTTATTTGGTGAGAGGCAACCCTCCCTGTGGTTCTGAGATCATCTGGCATGTAAGCCATCTGGACCTTACCACATGCATATGAAGGTCAAGTTTGCAACTTTTTTCCTTAGCTTCCCCAATTATCTCTTTGTCTACTGCCTCAAGGTCAAGTATAAGGGCAAGGAGGTAGAGACTGGAAAAAGGAAAAACACACTAAGACTACAAAATAATTTGAGAATTTGTTTTTCTCAGATTCCCCAATTAACCCTTAGCTGACTCCTGCCTTGGTATGAGAAGAAAATAGTAGTTTAGGATTACTCAAATGTATAATGAAGGCAGACTTCTGTGTGTGTGTGTGTGTGTGTGTATACATGTGTATGTGTGTGTATGTGTGTGTGTGAGAGAGAGAGAGAGAGAGGGAGGGAGAGAAAGAAAGAAAGAGAGATAAATATGGTCAGGGCAGGTGAGTTTGGAGCTGGCAATTAGACATCATGATTAGTAAGTCATGTAAATAAGTTATTATTATAAGGCAGTATACTAAATATAAGAGAAGCTGAAGATGGTGTTTGGGCTGTAGGTAGACATTAAGATGTCATGAGCTTTCAAATGTCCTTTAAAGATGTTAGACTGAATGAGATTCCCTGAGAACAATCGCTGCAAGAAAAATAATTAGGAAGGAGCAAGAAGTAAAGTGTAGTGCATACAACATGGTAAATAATGAAGTAAAGCAGAACAAATAAATAAAATAAACCAACTAATAGGCTCTGGACCCTTGACCCAAGACCATCCAATAATTGATTTACTTCATGGAATTTGGAAACTTAGTAATCTAGTAGCTGTCCAGGAAAGAAATTAAATTATGCAAATAAGAGATGTTATAAATGGATGTGGGGACTGGCAGTGGGTAGTGTGGAAAGATCATGCCAAGTTGTAATTTGGAGGTAGAAGCTGCTATGAGTTAAAAGAGAGAAACAATTAATATGGAGAGTGTCAGAGCACTGAGACACAGAGATGTTGAGAATGGGGACAGGAGGAGAAGCATAAAGGGGAGATCTCTTTTTCTTGAGAGAAAGCAAGTGTGGCAAAGTGTTAGTCTCCTCATTTTTACTGGTGAATGTTTCACCATAACCCAAGGGCTGCCATGTCTAATCTAAGTGATTCTCAAACTCTGCAACATGATCTCCTCAAACAGAAATTGAGAAGCAGCAGGTGCCCAGGATCTGTTTGAACTCATGCAAAAGGTAATGCACTTGAGCCATCTTGCTATGTCTGTGGAACCTCAATGATTCATGTTCAAAAGCCACTGCTGACAGTTAGGTCTGGGGACCTCTAATGTTGAAGAGCTATTGAGTGACCTCTATGACCTAGGGTTTCCAAGGTCCCGCAGATCCCAGCATCATCTTTCTAGAGTCTGACTGAAGTGGTATGGGAGGGAGATACAGAATAGCAGGCACTCCTGCATCTATACGACTTATGATTTTCAGTGGATTATTTGAAATACTGCATGTCTTAATATATTTATGTCTATCTTCTCTGGGTCCTTGGGATGCAGTGTGTCCTGGTTGTTCTAAGACTAGATTCTTTCTGATTGTCTATTTTACATGATTTCCGAACTCTCAGCATCACAAGACTTCAGATCTGCAAAGCTGACCTTGCTCTTTCCTTAGACAGTTTAAGATTTGGAAAAAGTAATGCTTTAGAATATTTCAATATGATTTCACCTTTTAGGATAAGTCTTCCCTGAGCATGTACAGGTGGGATTGATAGTTGTTTCTATAAATCCATATAGAACCTCATAAGAGCATATCACTGCATTCATTGTTTTGGATCACAGAGGTTATTTCCATAACATCTTCTCCCACATCACTATGAACTTTTCATGTCCAATTATTAATACTCACTCAATGATTTCTGGTGTGTTCTTGTTACTCGAGTAAGGGAGGAGCGAGATCTATTCCTTACACTTATGCATGTAGGACACCCTTGAGACAGATTGCCAGATATTTTTTCTGAGAGAGAGAGAGAGAGAGGCCTGTGTGATGTGCTATCCTGTGTTTGTGAGAGGCCTGTGTACAAGGCCTGTGTTTAGGAGATAAGGCCTCTGTGTATGTAAGTTTCATAGGCTGTCATAGCCACAGTAACACTCATCTGGAGACAACGACTTACCTTTGTGGTAGAAGTGAGGCCAGAACTCAGTGCTTTTTACTGCCTGACTAGTATCCACATGATAAGATGACAGAATTGAGTAAAAAAAAAACTGTGTTCTTGGTTCATCATTCCTTTCTTCAGTCTGGAGGTCTTCTACATTTCAGTCTCTGTCTTGAGAATGAGAAGTAATCTGAAAAGACCCCTTACTTTGTGGATACTAGAGGTGAACAGGGAATGAGAAAACATCAATTAAATCATCACAAGGTGTAACATTCCAAATCCTGATATCTAAGAATTATTGAGGGTTTAGGGTTTGTCAGACACTAGCTGAGGAGTGTCTGTATCTGGAACTCTTTATACTCAAAAACAGTTTTGGGCATCAGGAATCATTGCCCTTTTTTTATAGAGAATGCAAGGCATAGAAAGATAAAGTCACTTGGCTGATACTACATGGCAGGTGAGCAGTCACTTACCAACACTCTGATCATAGTTTAGTCTATTTCTATAATCAGAACATCAAATCTCACTTGTGAAATTTTGGAAATAGGACCAGGTTCACTGTCAGGACTTAATCATAATTGTTGAATCTTAATGGTTTTGGGACTCAGGAATAGGAAAATATTATTTCTGCTCCTAGCACTTGCCCAGGGTTATTGATTGACATTTACCCCTGGAGGCTTCCTGCACTAATGTGAAAAACTTGATTGAAGTCTCTTCCTTAAGGTTCAGGAAAGTATTCAAAATACAGCCTGGCAATTGCACTCAACTTTTCATGGCCGTAATTGAGTTGTCTCCATGTGCTCCCTCCACTAGGAGACTGGTCCAGAAAGTGATGAGAAAGCATACTGTAGACACAGGAGCCCAGTCAGACGCACATTTTAGAAAATAGAAAGTGATGAAATTGTGGAAAGATCCCAAGGAGACAGATGTCCACAGAAGGCAGCACCGTTCATAAAGATACAGAGTCTGGGCAGATGGGTACTGGGATACCTCAGACACAGATCAAATCCCGTAACTCCTCTTCCCCTAACCCTGTGACTTGGTGATGTGATCATTAGCCATCCACCCCCATCACTGCTCCTGCGTGAGGACTGGCACAGGTATTGTGTGAGTGCCAAACACTGCAGGATGAATGCTCATGAGGGTGGATGTTTCCTTACATCCTCAGGTTTCAAGTCTTTCTTGGTGATGAGAAATATCATGTGGTGACAGTTGAGGCAGGGGCTTTCTATTGTCTGCTAGAATGGTGACTACATGGCCAGAATTACTACAGGGTCATCCAGAATCAATAATACAGAGAATCTGACCCAAGACTTCCTTTCTAGCTCTGGAATAAATTGTTTCTTACCACTTGAACTTCAGAGTCTTGAGAAGGGCCACTAAAGAGTCATCACACCTGTCTCTGCTCCTAATGTGGCTCACCATTGTGTTTCTTATTGCATTTCTGCTCTCCCATCCCCTCAACTTCTAAGACCCTTACCAGTCTGTCACACTGATGACATCGTAGTCAGTGTGACCACCATGCCCTCCTGTCCCAATTTTGTCTATCAATGATTATTTGGAGCCTACTGTTCTGTTGTTCTGTCGCTACTCCAATAAAATATACACTTCACACAGCTCACAGGAGTATTAGCACTCAGTGCCTTTTTTATTCTTGCAGTGACTGAATAGGCTTGAATAAATGAATTAGGAGCACCATGTATAAGGCAAGTTCCTAATTTAGCATTTCTTCCTCACAACCTCTCTTTGAAGTAAGCTTTTATGAGTTTGCTTCTAAGATTTTTATGGCAGAGGATTTTGGTTAAGTGTGTCACACTGAGTACTTAAGGTTTCAATCCGGTGGACTGAAGTCACTATGATCAGACTGGACAGCATATAAATCACAGTTCTTCATTTCCTTCTCTTTTTTTTTTTATCTTTTATTTAATAAATATAAATTTCCAAAGTACGTCTCATGGGTTACAATGGCTTTCCCCCCCATACCGTCCCTCCCACCCACCACCCTCCCCTTTCCCACTCCCTCTCCCCTTCCATTCACATCAAGATTCATTTTCGATTATCTTAGTATACAGAAGATCAGCTTAGTATACCTTAAGTAAGGATTTCAACAGTTTGTTCCCACACAGAAACATACAGTGAAAAATAATAGATGATTTTTTTTTAAATGATGATGAAATCAGATCAGACCTATTGTCATGTTTAATCCCAGTGAGAGTCAAGTTGGGAATTGATAGTTTCTTTTCTTTTTTTTTTTTTTTAACAGAAGATCAGTTTAGTGTACATTAAGTAAAGATTTCAACAGTTTGCACCCCCATAGAAACACAAAGTGAAATATACTGTTTGAGTACTCGTTATAGCATTAAGCCTCAGTGTACAGCACATTAAGGATAGAGATCCTACATGAGGAGTAAGTGCACAGTGACTCCTGTTGTTGACTTTACAAATTGACACTCCTGTTTAAGGCATCAGTAATCTCCCTATGCACCAGTCATGAGTTTCCAAGGCTATGGAAGCCCCTTGAGTTCTCCGACTCTTATCTTGTTTAGACCATTTCCTTCTCTTGTGTAAAGTTGTCTTCCTCTTCTCACACTGCTGAGACACAGAATGTAAAAATCATGCGCATGAATAAAAATATATTTCTAATCTGAATCACATTAATGAGTAAGACGCAAAAATACTTAAAGAAACACTTGGTATAAGTGAAATAAGATATACAGGAAAATATAAGATTCTGACCATATAATTTTGGAAAGCTTTATTTTAAGAAGTTAGGCAGGTTCAACATATTAGATATGTTAGTATTGAAACACCTTGCTGAAGTCACTGTGACAGGATTCTTAGTTTTATTAGTTTAACTTAGGGACTGATCATGCTTACAGGAAATATCCAGGGACATGGAGGATCTGAGAGAGAAGGACTGTGGAATGAATCATCTAGAAAAGCAGGCAGAAACAGTCATGGTAGAGTAGGAAGCCCAGGAGACAAGGAAAGACCCCCTTGCCAAGAAAGGGCTACAGTCATAATTGAAGACACCATCAAATTTCTACATGCATTGGCTGTCATCTGCAGGATCATATTTATCTGCTCATGAATACATACTTATCATCAGCATTATTTATTTCCTTATGGCACATGACTGAGAGATTCAGCTTCTCTGTGTCACTTGTCATCTAACCTCAGTTCCTAGGGTATATTTGTACTTCCCACTCATACCACAGTACACAGTCCAGCAAAGGAATTTCCCTCAAGTCTTTCAAGTGGTTCCTCATGTCAAAGGCCATAACAATAGGAGTGTCTGTATATCAGCTTTGCCATCCTTAATCATCTAGACTCAGCGCTAATCTAAGGGTGAGGGAAATGCAGGGCATAACACAGTGTGCATAAGTCAGAGGCCACCTTAAAATTCTGCCTACTGTGCCCACTCTTCTATGAAAAACTTTGCTCATGATACAAAAATATCCCAATATCTCAAACTATTGGAAAAGTGGTTTAAAAGGTGAAGAGTTTGAAAGAGGGGGGAATATAGACCCTTTTCCTATGCCAAAATGCTCTACTTGGGCACCATACTCATTTTGAGCTGGATAATAGTTGGGGCACAGGCCAGTGCTGTTTTTAGGAGGATGACAGCTATCCACTGGAAGGCAGTGAAGCCCCTTATGTGACAGCTGGAAATGTCTCTGGACAGTTTTCAGAATTCTGGGAAGTCAAACTTACCCAGCTGAGAATCATGTTTCTACATCTTGTTAGTGCACATAGGGGAGGGCATTCTTTCCAGTAGTGAAGAGTTATGGTGCTGCTTGGTAGGCATTGTTTGTTTTTTCTTATAACTTATGACATTGAGTGAATTCTTTCTAAAGTCATTGGAATTATGATACACCTGCCTACATTCACATTGGCTGCCAGTATTATATCATTTGCACTTTCAAGTTTGTGAATTAGTGTGGGAGTCCTATTTAATGTAAAAGGATGATGGATGGCATCAGTTCCCCTTTGGTCTCTTCACTTTTTCACAACTCTATAAGAGAGCTGAAATGTTCTTGCACTAAGACACTCAGCACCTATCACCCTTATGAATGAGGGCCCTACTTTCCTATGTATTTCTCTCTCCTTTGATCCTTGATCTCCCTTTGTTTGCCACAAAGTTTGAGATATTTCCCTCTGTTTCCTGTTAATTTTCTTGTTAAAAACAATCATGGGTGCTCAAAAACTATCTTGTACTGTAGTTTGATGGTAAATATTTTGCTGTGCTCATAGATAAAATAGGTCATCTTTTACAAGCTTCAAACTTACAAACTTCTGTGTTAACCCAAAGGTAGATGGTAAAAAATATATCCCAGGAAAAAATTAGGTCTAAAGAAAAGTCAACATCAATGCTTGCTGTTAATCAGAGATAACTGACTAGTTTAATATGTAGAACACAGGAAGATGCCCCTGAGTCTATCTTAGTCAGCTTCCTTCATCTGAAGTACTTAGAGAATGGATTTGTACTCTGTTTCCTTTCTTCTCTTTGTAGGTTCTCCATGGATTAAATCATCAACAGTGACAGGATTTCTTCTGTCTCCATTGTGGTGTATAATCTATAGACTATAATACTGTATACTCAATAGTAGACCACCTCAGCTACATACTCTCAGGATGTAGATAAACATCTGGTGTGAAATTGCTTTGTATCATGTCAGACTTATTTTGTAATTTCTTTCTTTTACAGATCCAACTGGCTGTAAATAATAATGGATAATCTGATCTCTAATCTTATAGTCTAGATGTGTTTTACAAAATTAAGAGTTTTTAATTCAAACCTATAAAAATATGGTGCTTTACTTTAAGACTGCTTGCCCTCAGTACTTCCTGAGAGTAATAAATCATTCTTTGAGTTATGTCACTGATTTCTAATTATATTTAAAATTACAATTTATGAACATACAAGATTTATGAACATGCAAGATAAACAACCAAAATAATTGTAAGAACATGAATGACTATATAATGGAAAGTCATCTGGAAATAAGCACTGCTATTTGGTCTTATTTATTTCACATTCCTCCTCAGCACTCAATGAATAATCAACTGGAAATGCTGAGGAAGAAGTCATACAGACAGTTTTGGTTTTGACATTGATTTCCATACTTAAGAAAAAGCATGGAAATGTTAAAGGAAATTTCACATGCCTGTGGGTTGGCATGGGGAGGATGGAACACTTTTGAGAGATTAAAAAAGTAGCCATGCATATTTTCATGAATAATTTATCAAGTTTTTCCAAACTGTGTTTTAAATATATCATTTTATTGGCTCAAATTCATATCAGAAATACTTGTTCATTTTTAGCCAGAAACTCCATAGGTGTTATAGAACACAAAAGTACACACACTATGACTTACCCTTTTGTCTTAGCGTTTCAATCTCCCAGGAATGAAAGTTGCTTTAGGTTTCACATTGATCAAAATAATTCTGAAGATTTCAAATACCCTCCAACTTCACAACTCTGACTTAATCTGCTTCTCTGTGGAGCATTGTCTCTGCTATGAATCCCCACTGGCTTCATTCTAGTAGTCTCTAAGCCAAATTCCAAATTGAGTGAGGTTTGTGGGTGATATTACAGAATCGACTCTTCTTACAACTCACTCACTCTTCTGTGATAAGAATAACTATAGTGAGATTCCAAGATGGTGAATTTGGGACCAACACACTGTGATAGGCTACAGATGAACAGGAAGAAAAAGGATAGGGAGTACACTCTCAGGATAGAATAGGAGAGAAAACTGCACTGGAAATCCTACAACAGGAAAAGGAATGTCATGGACCTGTGTGGAAGGTGCAGCCATGCAGTAAGAACACCAGCACAAGCACAACTGAAGCAGCCAAGAGCTGGAGCAGGAGGCAGCTTGGAGACAGAGGTGAGGCTGGGCTGAAGCGACCCATGGTGATATAGCCAGAGGGAGTCACAGTGTGAGTCTGGACTGGAGCTCTGAAGGCCAGCAGTTGCTACAGGTTGTCCACGAACCCAGTGGAAGGACAAGGGGCATATTTAATTCACCTCAACTTCCCCATAAAAGCTCCTGCTGCTTGGATGAGAAGGAGTGAGCATCATTTTGCATTAGAGCAGGAGCTGCAGAAGAATTTGTGCACATGCACAGCAACTGGCTGAGCAGGACTCCCTGTTTTTTGCAGTATTGGCAGTAATGGTAAGGGGATAGCAACATTTGGCCAGTGACTTTTATGTATGCATGTGATCCAGTGACTCTAGCAAAGAGAATACTAGGCAGTCCCCACTGACTTTGAGCCTGACAGGGAGGTAGGCGGTCAACCTCAGAGGACAATAAAGCACCCACAGACTCCCAGGAGCAAGACACCTAGGCAGAACTGTCTCGGGGAACATTTGCCACCCTATTGACTGGACAGCCTGGTAGGGCAGAGAAACCTGTGCACTCGGAGTCTGTTGGGGCCTTTTGTACTGAGACTGTAGAGACTTGGTGGATACATGAAAAGGTAGAGGGTATAGTGGGGCCTGTGGGCAATCACTGGTTGCAGCTCCACATGCTCGGATTTCCTTGGTTACTAATAACAGGTCTTTGCAGCAGAAAATGTGCTCACAGTGAAGACTGTGCAGAACACTTGTGGGGTTTATAATGGTTCAGAACACACCCAGGCATTGAGATCTACTATAACCACCTGTGTGCTACTCTGGAAATTACCCCACACCTAAGCGCTGACCAGAGCTCCATGGCCATACCAACCATATACCTCTGGGTATTTAATAAAAGTGCAGGCATTACATTAAGTCATAGATTCATAGCTCAAAGAAAAAAAAACTCTACCATGAAAAGAAAAAAAAAAACTCCACAAATTTATTCATTGTATTTAACTAAATACAAATGAAGAAATTCAAGAAACAATAATAAAGAAGACCCTGTTACCCTCCCCTAAAGGAACACAACTATGTTTCAATATTTAAATGTTTGGATGAAGAGATTGAGGAAATTCTGGAAATAGAATTAAAAAGTAAACATAGGTTATTCTTAAGCAACCAGAAGCAAATCCACAAACTTAAGAAAACCATACATGGTATGAATGAACATTTTCCTATGAAACTGATATGTTAAAGAGAAATCACAATGAAATATTAGAAATGAAAAATTCAATAGACCAAATAAAATATGTGGTGGAAAGCCATAACAGCAGACTTGGCATGGAAGAAGAAGGAATATTGTCCTAGAAAACAAAACTTTGGAAATCATTCAATTAGATCAAAGAAGAAGAAAAAGAAGAAATTAGAAAACTATCAAATAACTATCAAATAACACAACATACAGGTATTAGAGTTCTTGAAGTTGTAGAAAGAGAGAATGGATTAGAAGCCCCATTTAGTAAAATAATTAGAGAAAACTTCACTAATTTGGAGAAAGAAAGGAACACTCATGTAGAGGAAGTATATAGATCTCCTAACAGATATTACCAGAAAAGATATTCACCATAAAGACCATAAAATGTGCATGAGAGAAATCCAGATTACTTTCAGAGGATCCAGTTAGACTCACAGCTGACTTCTCATCAGAAACACAAGCTAGGAGAGAATGGCAGCATATATCCCAAAT